CACGTAGCTATATACATGACAATTAAGCAATATTTTATAATACTCTTAACAACAATTTGTTTATCCGACATGATTAGTTTATTAATTTATTAAATATAATTAATAAACAATATAGATGGTAATTATATACTCCTTAGTTTATTATGTAATTTTAGCTATTTTTGTCAATACATAAACAAATTATTTAGATTTTGCGCAACCATGTGCATATTATGTTATGTTACTATGGTTTACCAAGTTCAAGGTTAGTGTTATGTTTTGACTGGCGTGTCTAAAACATAATGCAAGCAAATAATGTAATTAAAGTAATTATTAATTACTAATTAAATAGTGAAATCACAACAGTCAAATATTTTTAATACATAACTTATAATAATTTCATTGTAACTTTTAATATACATATATAACTATAACTAGTGCTCACAGTTATTTGTTAAAACAAATAAAACCGAATAAAACTCAAGACAAAAAATAGCAAAATTTGGTTTAATTAATAAACCCAAATAAACTAATCAAATAATATTTGAAATAATTACATTTAAATGTGCACAAATTATTTCAACATTACAAATAATTATATTTCACATAAAACACAGTGTACAAATTGGTCGGCAGTTATTTAGATATTAAAATATGTGTTAAAATTAAAATGTATTTATTTTACAACTCAATTGAATGAATATTTCTGATTGAATAAATAGTATTACACATCGATTTTAGCTAACTTTGAATGAATCTCCAATCAATCGATGTTGTGTTCGGACCAATGATTTAACACATATTTAACCAAACGTGTGTTAAATCCATTGATATAACGTATGATTACCATAAATGATAGCACAGCTACGCCGACCCACACGCCAACAGTGCCGCCCATATTGTACACCAATTCCGGCCAATCCATAGCAACTGCTCCACAATCAGGGCTTCGAACGCGAGTTCGGGTATTATATTAATGCGAGTAAAGCCCGGCAGTGATCGACGACGGGTTAGGGCTGACCATTGGGTATGAGAATGATAGCAATCGGGTAATAGACCTTGCACACATTTGCCTTGCATATTGCATAACGCCTGTTCCCGGAGCTTATCATTGAGAGTGATGTTAGCCTCACGTGCGCTACGAATGGGACAGAATTTATAGCCCCAGTCCTCCAAAACCGTTTCGACGTCTACCATGTACATAATAGTATTATCTTCAAAATCGGGCACCTGTAGACACCCACCACTACCGGTGCCATTGTTTAGCATATGCTTAATGGCGGCCAATTTGCACCGCTCTACCCGTCTGTGCCGTTGCGAGTAGTGATCACTCGCCCGATGGCACCGGTAGTTGAGGCGCGGAATACTGCTGAACGCAGCGCTTGTAAACCGTACGTCGGTTTCTGTGTTTGGATTGATGGCCAACATGTCTACCGTTTGATTGCCCTCAATATACAGTAGGAAATAAGCCACGCGTCGGCTCTTAAACGTGGTGATCGCCGACTCGAGCCGCGGCTGACTCGCGCCCATCACTTGATGGCCGGTCGGTGTTGTTGAGCGCAATATGGCCTCAAAGTTGACAAATGGCTTAAACGAAAACGCGACTCCACTTCCGGTCAATTGAATTATTACTTTTGGTGGACCGCACGGCACGAGTTGGCCAGTCGTGAACACATAGTGACAATCGGTTAGCGCTGTTTCGTAGTCATACACCAACTGTTTGAACATGGTCAAATTATTACTTTTTAATATAACGCTTGTTACTAAAGAGCGTAGTTGATCAAGTTTAACACCATTTCTCAGTTTATTATTGCTCTCAATTGATTCAACGCGAGCAGTTATACCAGAGTAATAATTAGCTACTTCTGTATTATTAAAGTCATTAAAGTAAGTGGGTGAAATAAGTATTTTCAGTTCAGGCATCGATATACGTTGAGTTAGTTGTATTTTAAATGTTACATTATTATTACGATAATCCAGATAGACCAATAATAAATTATAAACCATTAATGCGGATAAAATCAATGTGGTAAACCAGTGACATATTTTATACCATCGATTGATAAATCGTAATCTTTTTCGTACGTTTATCATAGCGTTGTGTGCGGCCGTTCGCAGCGCTCGTCGCACCCATAGTAACGCTGTGTCTACGATAGACAATACGCTCAGCCCTAACCACATACCCATTAGACCGCCCATCGATGACCAGAATGTTATCGGATCTGTTTTGGGCGAATAGTGCCAATACATACGCACATGTGGTAAATTAAAATACATTATATTTTTCATAGGTATATTTGAATATAAAGTAGGTTTCTGTAGATCAGATACATGTACGCTATATTTATGTAAATAGCGGTCGCACTCGACCGGACACACGCGATACAGGTGACGATAATTGGGTTTGACTATACATTGCTTTGAATTTGTCGGTTGGTTTGTTTCAAAGTGGCCGATTTCCCATTTCAATATAAACTCCATACCATTGGACACGTATTTGGGATAATCCCAGTACCGGTTATAACCGCATTGTATTTTCTCCAAGCGGTACATCTCTTTCAACATACAATCTCCGCGTGATTGTGGTCTCTGATTGTGCGAATAGTTGCCAGCATTGATATCCCGGCGCCAATTGGACCGGTAGTCATAACAGGCGGTCTGATAGGGAGGCGGCAGTAGTTTCATGACAACAAAATCTATCCGAAAATTATATAAACTATTGTCGTTCACCAATGAATGCCATTTCGCAAAGTGTGTCGTTTCATGGGATGTATGAAAGGCCACCTCAACGGGTCCGGTGGGGCCGACGGCGGTCAGGACTATCAGATCACCGACATGTTTGCCGGAAGCGGCGCCACCGGTCGGTGTGAGACCAGAGTACGTGACGCAAACACTACCCGAGTATTTATGCCTTACAAATACCGGCGATTTTATACATTGTTTGGTTTTAATCGTGCAGAGGATTTCGTTGTCGGGCCAAAAGTCAGCCGAACTCAGGTTAGAGTGACGGCGATTGAGACATACGGTCGCCGTTAAGAAGTGGATGGTTTGCGCGCCGTATCGCTCGTACTTCACGTCATTCACGACTTCGTACGACAAATAGTGAAGCGTTTTGTCCAACACTTGGTATAGAAATCCAATTATAATCACGAGTTTTATAACTCGTTGTGAATTGATTTCACACTTAATTTGGTATTTATTATACATTTTTATTGTATTTATAAAGGTGTAATAAACAGATATACAATTAACAATAAATATATTTTCTGTACTTTTGTATTTATTTTAAGTCCAAATATTTTAAGGCATTGATAAATCCTTGTAAGTGTAAAGATAATTGTTTTGTTTTTGTTTTTATATATTACTATAACTATAAATTGCTAATTTATTATTTATAATTCATTATTATTTATGGTTATTTCATACAACTGCTATTTACTCAAATAATCTAATACTATATCAATATAATATAATTATAGTTAGTACCGACATTATAAGTCACTGTTAACAAAATTGTATAATTTACATTGTAAAGTATGTTATATACAGTATGTTATTTTTGTTATAAATTATATTGTTACCAAAATACTGTACATATTATATATTATTTTGATACAAATTATATTGTTAAGTAAAGTAATTACATTATGTGATTTAATATTTATTGCTTCATTAATGATGGTACAGTAATTGTTATAATTTATTTGTAATCTCATTCAACAAGTGGTGCACGAATATGCCTTTTACACGACTTTTATATAAATGACATTTTAATCAAATACTTAATTAGTTTTGACATAACATTCTATGTTGCAATAATTTCATTATTTATTATATTCATGTAAGTGTGAAAAAACACGTTTATTAAATTGTAAAAGTATAATTTCTTAATAATGTACTATTTATTAATATGATTATGTTTATGTATTGATTGCAATTGATTTACAATATTAATTCAATGAAAGACAGTTTATTTTATTTATTGGCACAATGTTGATTAATGTAAAATATTATTTTATAATAAAACGTTTTTAATTTTTAAATAATACGTAAAAATAGTACTTAATAGTCCAACCACAATAAAACTCATAAAAATTTAATCTGTTTAAAATTATTAAATTTTTATTGCAGTTTTTAAATAGATTATATAAAATAATTTAATATAAAATAAATTTAAAAATTTATTTATTTTACTGTTATAATTGATTCCTACGAATATTTGATAGTTAATTATGTTGTATTAATATGTGCAATTGTCAATTATTTATGTACATTATAGTAATCATAATTTAGACATTTATTAACTGTAAGAAGTATTAAAATACATACAAATATTAATTAAGCTATTTGAATTATTAGGATTATTGGCATTCAATGGAAGTTTGACGTAAAATAATTCTTACTGCAAAATCTTTTATAACATTTTTAAATATAGAACATATAATTTATAAAATGATAAATATGTGGCAAATATATGATTGCAAATTAATTTAAACTCATTAATTAGTAATAAATTATTAAATTATAATGATATACAATGTAAGTTTTCTTATAGATATTTCTAATAGCCAATTCATAGACAATGGTTTGGATTTTGCATACAATGTAAAAATAATAGTTTTTATAATTTACCAAGTTCAAAATTTAAATTATGCAATTATTTTAAAATAATTCTGATAAGTTGGTTTTAGATTTTATTAATTAATTGTAAATATAATTGTGTGATAATTAAATATTTAATTTCCAATAATAAAATATTTTAATGCTCATAATTTAATTGAAAAATGTAACCAAATTTATTAATCATTTGCAAATTATTACAGCATGTTTAAACTATAATCAACAATGTTTACAATATTAATATAACCAAAAGTATGTTATACACAGCTATTTAAATATAATAAATATTTGACACATTATATTACAAATAAATCTCAATAAAAAAACTTCAAACTTTACAAACATTATTACATATAAACAAATTACAAAAAACAGCATGATAAAACAACAAACAACACGTATCACTCGCGGGCACTTTTATGCTGACCCCCAGATCCGGGCTTAAAACCCCTGCTTTTCATATAACCAGTCAACTGGTCGGGTATCTCATAGAGCACCTCCCGGGCCAAATCGGCCTGGGATCTAATCGACGGGCCCGCACGCGACAGAAACCTATTAATCGGGACAAACTGGACAATGTCCCTTTCGGCAAATCTCCCATCCACCGACACGCGCACCTCATCGCCATCCAACTCATCCATGGCCTCAAAGTCGGCATTGCCTACGCCTATGATAATGATGGACAGGGGCAGCGACGCCGCGGCCACTATAGCCGCTTTGGTGGCGTACATATCACTAATAATACCGTCGGTGATTATTAGCAAGACAAAATAGTTGTGACCCGTTTGGAATTGACGGGCTATGCCGGCCGTGTTGTTGATTACGGGCGCGAAATTTGTCGGCCCGTATAGCGTGACCGACGACAGGGTTGTCCGGTAGTGGCGCAGGATTTCGTCGATACCCGAACAGTACGGTTGGGTTGGGTTGCCGTTGATCGGGAATTGATGCGATACCGTGTTTAGCGGTGGTATTTTTGCGCCAAATCCGTACGCTGGGTATACACCTATTTGTTAGAAAGGTAGTTTAAAATTTTAGTGGGACGTATTTTATAAATTTTGTGCGAAACGTATTTCGGTATTTTTGGGTATAAATGTATTATATATTTTATACCATTTCGGTTATAAACGGAGATTATCTCCCCGACAGCTCTCAGGGCTATCTCATAGCAGTTGGGTTTGCCGTGAAAGTCAAAATAGTGCAACGAGTTTGGGTCCCGGGGGTCACCGTTAGACGCCGTCAAGTCTATGGCCACCGCAAAGTGCAGTTCAGTTCCATTGCGGATATAGTCCAGGAATGACAGTTCCTCCTCCACTTGAATGCTGCTCAGTATTATACGCCCGGAATTACGGTACGAACTCGATCGGTGTTGTTTTCTAATGTTTATAACCTGTTTTGATTAATTATTTATTAATATTTTTATTAATTAATTATAAATTGTGAATTAAGTTTTGATGTGCATTAAAGATTAGCTTGTTATATTATTTTGTTGCAAAACATTGTGCCAGTATTTATAATTTTATATCATTCAAACTGTAAACTTGTTCAGATAATATAATATATATATAGCACATTTGTTTAAATAGTTAAATATGGGATTTGATATCATCTTTGTTAAAAAATTATTTTTTGAAGAAAGCTCATTTACATTGTTACCACAATAGTTACTTATTTAAAACATATAATATAAATTTAAATAATTGACTATATTATTATAAAATAAATTAAGTCGGAAAAAATAATTCATAAAACTAGATAATCAAAATTATGAAAAAATTCACTTACATCATAACAATTATCTGCACCAGGTCCTTTAAGCAGCTTACGCAACGACGTAAAACAACTGCCCACCAGCTTATGCTGGCCGGTAAAGCGATCATCATAAACTTCTACCCTAATGGCCCGGTCGTAATCCCCATTACACAGTGTCTGGGCTCTCACGACCATCGGTTGCCACTCCTTGTTATGGCGAGAATTTTTATGCAAACACTCAGTCTTATGGACGACTGTCCACGTGCTGTCCTCGTTAGCCCTGCCAAACACCAGGAACGGGTCCAGTCGGGTCCAAAACCGGGTCCTTTTGAGCCCCTGCGCCCGGAAACTCATGTGTAACTTTTGTTTACATTCGGCCACTTCTTCCACTACTAGTACAATATGTCCGCAATTTTTGTGACCCTTGACCCCCGATAGGGGTGCCATAAATTGGCGCCCCTGGTGGGCCACTATCTCGGCTAATGTGGTCTCGTATTGGCCCAGAAAGTCGTTGTTTGATTCGTATATTTCGATACCTCCTTTAGGGTTAACATAAATATTGATATTGAATATTAATAATTATTATTGTGTTTATACTGTATTATTATATTATTTGTATTAAAATTATATTGCCATATGGTGTTTATGTAGATACAATTATTATTGTTTTGCGTACAATAACTTGAATGCTTACAATTTATTTATAAACATGTGATTTATAAACTGTAATTTATTCAAAATAGATACAAATATTTTGCAATCCATTTGAATTACTAAATTTTTGGTTAGACGAAAAGTGGAAGTCTTAAAAACTAATATTTTTGTAAAATAATACATTGTTTTAAAGTTAATCACTTATATTTTTTAAAATATTATTCCTGATGATTGTTGAACTAATTTAAAAACGTTTGTTAAGACTGTAATATATTCAATATATGAACACATATTATTTAACTGGTATTAACTATTTAAGTTTATGGATCCAGCTGTCATCGAGTGTAATTGTAATTTTAATATTTTAAGAATAAATTAAATTATATATTTATTAAAATTTTACTAAATATTTAAGAAAACCAATAATTAGTCAGAATAAATTAAAAATAATGATTGTAAAATGTAACAATCTAGTATTCGTTTTGTATGCATTAATTTTATTTCTATAAAAAATATTTTAGAAAGCTTTTCATTTTAATAAAAAAAATAAATGAAATAAATTATATTTTATGAAATAAAATGCATTATTAATTTTAAATGTAAAGCAAAAGTAATAAAAAAATTAATAAATATTTCAATTAAAATCATATTTTATATTAATTTTAATTTATCATCATTTCTATAAAAATTCAATTATTATTTCAACTGCTTTTATACAATCATAACAACTATATCTGCATATATAATAAGCAAAACAAAATAAATAATTGAATTCATAATTTGTCCGGGCTCACTACACAAAAAAATGCGTGGGAAGTAAGCGATATACAGTAGGGGAGAGAGAGAGA